CACTCTTCAGATCTCCAACTCCTTTTAGCTTTGTTAACTGCAACATACTTCTTTCTCTTGGGCTGGTTCCACTCCCTGTTAGCAGCTCTCCTCAGCAGGTATCACATGGCTCTGGCATCTCCAACATTCCAGGGTCTCCAAGGCATTCCAGGCTTCACCTTCACAGCTTCACACAATGGCCTCTCTAGGCCTCCATTCAGGGACACCTTTGACACATGCCTAGCTTCAAGTAGCTTTCTATAGTCATGGAGGGAGATTCCATAATCCCTTTCTTGTATCTTTGACTCTAAAATCAGAACTATGTAGCTGAAGCTGCCAAGTTTTGGTGCTTGCTGGGGCTGGGACATGGCCTCCTTGTTCAAATACATTTTCACCAGCTCTCTGTTTTTGATGGTTTCTTTCACTGCCTAAGTTTGGCTGTCCTGTAGACCAGGCTGGCCTTGAACTCTGAAATCTGACATGCACTACTGGATCTAAACTTTTTGTCAATTCCTTTTCACTTTTTTTTAGTTCCTTTTTACAAATTGGAAGCTTAGCTGGATGGGGGTCTTGCTCTGAGGTCACTACTCCCTTTATTTCACTTAGCATCAGCCTTTTTTAAAAATCTGTCTACATTTCCTGGTGCCCCTTTTCTCCTCAAACTGTACATTTTGTATTTTTTCTTGCTCAGCTTGCTCCTTTTCATTATAAATCTGCACAAGCATGAGCACTAATAATTAAGCAACACTCAATACTAGGCTGTTGAGAAACTTCCTCTGCCAAAGTTAATCCATAACTTTTCAGTTTAGTCTCAGGATGATTTTTTTTTTTTTGGATAATAGCAAAAAGCAGCCACATTCTTTGCCAACACATCACAAGAACAGTCTCTAGGCCATATACTAAAATTCTTCTCCTCTGAAACTTCTTGAACCAGGCCCTCACAGTTCAAATCACCTTCAATACCACTGTCTTCCATGCTTCTACTAGGATAGTCAACAGTTTTTCTAATCCAAAGTCCCAAAGTTTACATTCCTCCAAACAAAATCATGGTCAAGCCTATCACAGCAATACCCAAGTCCTTGGTCTTAGGGATTCTATTACTGTGAAGACACACCATGACCACGGCAACTCTAATAAAGGAAAACATTTAATTGGGGCTCATTTATAGACATCATGGCAGGAAACATGGTGGCATGCAGGCAGGCATGGTGCTGGAGAGGTATCTGAGAATTCTGCATCTGGATAAGCAGGCAGCAGTTAGGGAGTGCCACACTGGGCCTGGTGTGAGCTTCTGAAACTTAAAAGCCCACCCCCAGTGACACGCTTCCTCCATCAAGACCACACCTAATCCAACAAGGCCTTGCCTCCTAATAGTGCCTATGGGGGTCATTTTCATTCAAACCACACCACCACAGACTTTCTGTGCAAGCTTGTCTGGAAGAACACAGAATCACGCAGTGGCCTCCATCAGCTTCCAGAGTTTCAAAGCAGGGCTCAAGAGTAGAGCAGGTCTACTAAAAAGAAAAGGAAGTAAAATACAAAAACATAGGAAGCTAGGCATGGGCATGATGGCACACACCTATGATCCCAGCACTTGGGAGGTTAAGATCAGGGAGTTCGAGGTTATGAACATGGTGAATGGGAAGCTAGCCAGACCCTGTCTCAATAATATGATGTTGTGGCAAAGCAAATAAAGCCCTTCTGGAAAAATGAACACACAGATCCCATCTACAGGGGAGACAATAGGCAAATTCAAGAATTAACCTTCCTTTTTTCTGTTCCAGATATCACTCCAAAGCAAAGGAGATCCTGGTCTGCTATTTGATGATGTTCCAAGGTCCCTGGTTCCAAGGGACCAACCCTACATAGGTGACAAAAGAAGGATACTGAGATGAAGGAAAACACAAGAAGGAGATGCTGCCCACAGAGAAACCTGATGTAGCTGAGACTTGCCCGACTGAGAAGAGTAACGGACAATGAAGATGAGCATGCAGTAGAGAAAGTTGATTTGGACAATACGATTTTCTCATCTGTAAAATATGGAATCTCTTTGCATATAATGTATCGGTTTGGGAGGAAAAAAAATGTAAGGCTGCTAGGAACACACCTATTTAGTAGCTTTTCTGTTGCTGTGATAAAACACCATGATCAGCGGCAACTTCAGAGGGTTTATTCTGGCTTACCATTCCAGAGGGGTAAGAGCCCACCATGGTGGGAGACATGGCTGCAAGCAGCAGGCACGGTGGCAGGAGCAAGGAGTGAGAGATCGTATCCTCAACCACAAGCACATAGCGGAGAGTGAAACTGAAGGTGGGGTAAGGGTTACCCAAAGCTCACCTGCCAGGGATGAACTTCCTTCAGGAAGGCTGCATCTCCCCATCATCTCTCCAAACAGCACCACCAACTGGGGACCAAGTATTCAAATGCCTGAGCCTAAAGGCAACATTTCTTATTCAAAACACTTCACCAAACCCTGACCTGATAGTCCAGTCAACAGCCATTAACTTTGCTGTCCAGAGTAGGGTCATAAACCCCATGAAGTTTCCAGAGGGCTTTTGTCCATGCACAGCAGTGTTATCAGTCATCCCTGATGAAGCTTTTATGGAGTAATCATTCTGTGACTTGGACAACACCTTGTAATCATCCAAAATAAAGGTGGTGACTGTTTTGATGACATTCTAGACCAGTGGTTCTCAAACTGTGGGTCACAACCCCTCTGGGGGTTGGATGACCCTTTCATAGGGGTTGCTTAAGTCCACTGAAAAATACAGATATTTATATAACAGTAACAAAATTAGCTATAAAATAGCAATGAAAATAATTTAATGGTTGGGGTCCCCACAAAGTGAGAAACTGTATTAAAGGGTCACAGCATTAGTAGGTTTGAGAACCACTGTTTTAGACAGCTTGGCGCTCTCTCTCTCTCTCTCTCTCTCTCTCTCTCTCTCTCTCTCACACACACACACACACATACATGTTACAATATATATAAAATTATATTTAAAAAATTATTTTACTAAAAAAAGAGTTTACATCATAGTCACATTACAGTGTTGTATGGGAAAAACAGTTAACAGAATGGAACACTGAAGCCAAGTGGATAAACACACAAGCAAACAGATAAATATTTTGAAAGTAGCACAGTGAAAAAGTTAGGTAAATATTTTATATGCTAAGACAAAAATCACAACACCTGTAGTTTCTTGGTTTGGGGATTAGGATGTTGTACTTAGCTATATTAGTCATCTTTTTAGAAATGAAAAAAAAATTTTTTTGAATGGTGAAAATAAAAGAGAAAGCAGTAGACATGGGGACCCTGGAAAGGAAGGGATGTATGTGGCCAATGTGAGTGAGGACGCTGGGTCCTCAATGGCAGGACCAGGCAGTGGCTACTGGGCAGGGTGAGGGAGGCAGTTTCCTGTCCCCTCTCAGGTGCCTGTCAGGTGAGGATGACAGTGGGGCCAGAGCTCTGCCAATGGAGTTACATACAGAAGAAATGAAGCAAAAACTTATGGGGATCCAAAGATGTGGTCCATCGCCACCGGGCCAGCAGTCCAATAAGAATGAGTCTACCTCTCTCTCTCCTTGTGCTACCTGGATGGCTGGCCGGATTTCATCTACCTTGTAAGGCACAGCAGAGACTTCCACCCCATCTTCTCTCCCGGACACCCTGATAGGAGTGGGGTACCTCTACAATGAGTGACTCACAGCTACCGTGCCTGGGGTAGAAAGGGGGACTATTAAGCTGAGACACAGGAGCTAGGGTCTGGTTTTCACACTCAGCCACACCACACATTCTGCCGGCACACATGTCCCAGTGGGGAATGGCTCTCACAGTCAATCCTGAAGACCAACCTGCATCTGATCCTCAGGACCCCCATTGTGGAAGGAGAGAACTGACATCAGCACATCACTCCTAGGCCTCCACATGTGTAGCATAGTGTGCACGCAAAGTTGTCCTCTGACCTCACTCACACACCAATAACATAATGAAAAAAATTAAATTCATACGTACTCCCTAACCCCTGCTCCCTGTGAATATGGCTGTATCTGGAAATGGCCTTTGAGGATGGAACTCTGGATCAGCCTGGATTGGCAATAGGCTCTAAGTCAAGGATATTCTTATAAAGAACTGGATATGATGGCCCAGACCTATAAACCCAGCTGAGGCTGAGGCAGGAGGATTGTAAATTCAAGTGGTGTCTGGACTGCAGAATGAGTCCAAGGCCAGTTTGAGCAACCTTGCCTCAAAATAAGAAAATAAAAAGAGGCCTGGAGGGACAGCTCAGCCAGCAGTGAGAGCCTTTACTACAAGGGGGTGTTCGAGACACAGAAGTACAAAAGGTTGAGAAGGTGCTGTGAACTGAGAGGTTGGAGCATTGCTGGGGATTCAGAAACCGGGAGAGGGACAGAATGGATTGTCCTTGCCTGCCCCAACCTCATCCTGATTTGGAACTTCTGCAGCTCTAGCTGCTATGTTTGTGGGAACTTGTGACAGCAGCCCAGAAAAACCAACTACCTTTGACCTCCTCCTTATCTCCCCGTCTCATCCTTTACCCTAGGTCTCCTTGCAGACTGAAGATCACAGGTCACAGGTCCACGTCGGGGCATCAAAGAACCTAGCAGCAGTCAGGATGCTAAGTGGCTAATTACCTGCCTTCATCAGATGTCCACGGCCCTCTCCTAACCATATATAGAGGAGTAGGCTGTGTTTCAGGGCTGGTCACGCACCAAGGGGTAGGAAAGAAAGCCTGACAGCTTGCTACTTCCTTTGCACAATAATAAAAGGAAACAGATTGTTGCCTAATGGCTGAGGCTTTGTAAAAATGAAATCTAAACTAATCCAACAGATCCACTTAATTATTTAAGCCCAAGTCAATATTTCTCATTTGCTTCCTCCTACAAACCCAGACACGATAATGAAGGAAATGCTATTTAAATCAATGGACAGAGAAAAGGGGCTCAGGCAGAAGGCAAGAAAAGACTCAGCCATTCCCAGAAAATAATTCAGTCATGCTCACTGCCAAGACTCAAAGAAAAAAATTTATTTACAATAGAGAATTTTATTTGAAACATGCATTTTTAAAAAAAACAAACCAGCAAATGTGGATCAATTGTACACTCTTTAAGGCAAGAGTCCCTATGCAGGCTGTGTATGTTCATGTCACATCAGATGCTGCTCGCCAAAGGTCAAGGCCAAGGTCAGCAAATTGTTTTTTCTTTAGAGAATCTGACAATCTCCCTGATACAGGAACTCTGAGGTCAACTTGCTATGAATTATACTAGAAAATGCAAACGGATAGCAAGGAATCCTGGTAGGTGTCGGCACTGCATACGGTCAAACCAACCTTGTTTAGAGGGAACACAGTAGTGCATATAAAGTGAGAAGAGAACCTGTCCATGGAATTGGAAGGACAACAGTGTGCTGACGGTCGTATTGCACAAAACGGCCAAGTCCAAGCACTTGGTTCAAAGTTAGCTTTTTCCCATTTTGGCAATCAGTTCATCACAAATCTTGGTGAGTTCTTCTATCTCTTTATTCTGAAAATGAAAGACAAAGAGGTGTTCTGAAATAGCACATACATAAGCAACAAAAATGTACATACACACACCAAAAAGAAAAAAACAAAAGGAAGCCAGGTGTGGTGGTACACGCCTTTAATCCCAGCACTTGCCAAGCAGAGGCAAGGGTATCTCTGTGAGTTCGAGGCCAGCCTGATCTACACAGTGAATTAGGTCACCAAGCCAGTCAAGGGCTGAAGCAATGGCTCAGTCAGCAAAGTACTTGCGTTGCAAGCTGAAGGATCTGAATTCAAACCCCAGAGCCCATTCTTTTTTTTTTTTTTTTTTTTTTTTTTTAAAGCAAGCCAGGTGTGCACATGGGAGGCAGACAGAGGAGCATCCTTGGCCAGAGAAGCCTGCTTAGCAGCTCTAGGCCAATGACAAACCCAGCACTTGCCAAGCAGAGGCAAGTGGATCTCTGTGAGTTTGAGGGCAACCTGATCTACACAGTGAGTCCCAGGCCATCAATGCCACAGCAAGACCCTGCCTCAACAGCTATTACTACTATTACTAGTTAATCAGAAGTAACACTGGTCTCCTTGTGGGGGACAGAATCTCCCCAATCTCTTGGTCTCCCCTAAGGTTACCTAAAGTAATTAGAGGAAAAAATGGGAAGCAAACAAAGTTTACATCTTCTCTATGGATGGGGGAGCTTGGGCAAGTTACACAGCCACTCTGAATTCTGGCTTCCTTATCTTTAAAATGTAAGTGAGAATGACATGAGGTAAGAAATATAAAGTTATATAAATGTAAAGATACAGTGAGCAGACCACAGGAGGGTTACCTAGTATAGTTCCTGTCCCTGAAGGCTGAGGTCTGGGGTGAGGAAGAGCTGGCCTAAGCTAGTTCATTGCTAAAGGCCCAGTTTAGAGAAATGCTAGAGTTATTTGGAAGATGCCCGGTAGGTGGTGTGATGAACACAGGTGTCCTGGAGGAGTCAAGGCAAAGGCAGGCAACTTCTCTCTTGCAGAAGCCGCCCTTTGCCCATCCTTGAAGCCCAATCAAAGGCATCTACCAACATGGGCACAGATAACTGTCCTGTAGGAAGGGGATTCAGCTGGGAAACAGCCAGCAGATATGGCTCTATCTACTGATGGTAGAGACACCAGCAACCCAAGGCTGCCTCTGTTTACACACAAGTGCCCAGTGGCCCTCCCTGAGGCAAGAAGACCTGCATCTCATGTACATTTTCAGCTAGTTTTCCTTTGAGATGCTGAGGAAGGCTAGCCTCCGCCAGCCCGTTTCCTAGAACCTTCTGCAACATGTTCTAGCTCAGTCCTTCCCTGGGTTAGGACTCCAGCACTCCACACCACAGTGCCCATGCAGGGCAGAAACATGAGCTGTCATGGGGGCGTTGGGGAAAGCACTGTCTCTCAGCAGCCTGGCCACAGCTACCTCCTGCCCAAAAGTAAATCTTAGGCCCCAGCCCACACAGGTGCTGAAAGCCCTGATCACTACTCCCCCATGATGGCCATGAATGCCTGTCTTGTCTTGTGAAAACCACATGCCAAATACCAAGCTAAAGCCATCTCAGATACTGTGACCTCCCTCAGTTCTCAAGCCGACCCTTTAAAGGAAGTCATTGTTAGGCAAATTTTCTGTAAGGAAACTGAGGCTCATGGAGGTTAAGTGCTATGCATAAGATTACACTGCCAATCAAACCGGAACAGATGTGGCCAGCTTGGAACACAAATTCAAGTTGTGCTCGCAACTAACTACCTAGCTTCGTTCTCATGTCTATTAAACTTAATGTACAGCAGCTCACAGTGGAAGCAGAGACCCACTGGAGAGCCATACGTAGAGGATGAGCTGAAAACCAGCACCATCATCCCGCAAACTGCCTCATCGCGGAGCCCAACATCACACAGATCTGCCCTGGTGAATGTGTTTCTGGGTCTCTTTAAGACAAGCCTTGCTTGTTATACGTATCTACTGTCCTTCAGGGGTGAATACCAAGATTAATTCCTTCCTCTGGAAGCTTAATTCAAAATGAAATTATGTTTGCACACATATTTTGATCTTTGCTATTCTCCAAAACCATGTGACCCAACTTGTTTGCATCTGTGTGCTTTAATCTACCAGAAAACGCAGCATCACCTTCGTTTGCCGTTCTGATCTGGCCAAGGGCCTTGGAAACATCCGCCCTGGTTCCTGCTTCAGGAACTAACACAGTGTGGCGATTTAAATGCATCTCAAGGAGTCCATACAGTGGAAACACTGACAACTTCCCAGACACACAGACTAACTGCGGTCTTTATTTTAATGAACCCTTCCATTTCTAGAAAAACATACACAGACTCAACAGTAACCACACAATGATGCTTGGTGATTATCAATGAGTGAACAAGTGCTTGGGTTTGTAGCTGTGTCTTGTCTCTATGGTGACTGCTATGAACTATTAGCTGAGCCCAGAAGTCACAGGTAGCTGCAGTAGCTGGCATACGACACTGGTCTAGCCTTTTCTTTCCAAAACTTAATTCTTGTGGTTGACTGGCCAGCAGTTACTCTTGTGTATCCTCAGAGGACAGAGCTAAATATCACCATACACTTCCCTCCCTCCCTCCCTCCCTCCCTCCCTCCCTTCCTTCCTTCCTTCCTTCCTTCCTTCCTTC